TTTTCTCTTCTTCCAAGGATACTGGTGAAACGGATCAGGAGCCACTTAGAGGCCTTATATTGACCTTCCTTATGAAGACCTCATATTCCGAGGTGCTGGAGTTTAGGCTTCAGTACAAGAGTTTGGAGGAATACAGTACATACAGCTCCTACCAATCGCACTGGAGCAGCGTTTGCTATTTGTTTTGGGAGCCTTCGGGAGGGCAGGACACTCCCTTTTGGTAATGGCTTGTTGCACCCACACTCTGCGCCCTGCAGCACCTGTGCATTTTGAAGGGTTTGGGGACAGGCCAGGAAAGGGGGAGGTGCTTGATAAGCCTTAGAATAACCTCAGCCATTTTGTTCTAAAATGTAAAAAGCCATTTCCTTGTCAGAGCCTCTTAAGAAAGCAAGGCAGCTCTTTCCCCCTGACCGACTATCCACCTTCGGTATGTGGCAGCTTCATAGGATACCTGACCCCTGAGAGGTATCATCATTTGGTTCTCTTTTGCTTTGTTTCATTTATTTATTTATTGAGCCCAAGCTGGCCTGGAAAACTCACCTTGTGAGGAAGAACGATATCACATGACTGATCCTCCTGCCTCTTCCTCCCAAGTGTGTATCGCCATGCCCCACCCCACTTCCTGTTCCTTCATAAGACACTTCTCACTGGTAAGTTTACTCTGCTTGCTTGGGAGACTCTCCAGCCATTCACTTGTCTGTCTGTCTGTCCATCCATGAGATGGGGTCTCCACATAGTCCTGGCTTAGACTGGCCTTGAACTTACAGAGTTCTAATTGCCTCTTTCTCTCGACTGCTTGTATTAGAGGCATGCATCACCATAGCTTATTTTTATTTATTTTTTGGTCCCCCAGAAACTTGTCCATGTAAAGCAGATGCTCTTTTATGGATCGAGAACTCTAGCTCTCAGGAATATTGGCATTTGTTATTTAGTCTTCGTGGTGCTCTTTTGAGGTGTGAGTTGTTTTTTTTTTTTTTTTTTTTTTTTTTATCTTCTTCATGTAGCACAGAAAGAACTGGGACCCTGAAAGCAGTGATTCCTGATTTGAGCCCAGGACTTCTGCCTCCAAATCCCAAGTGATTTGCATGTTAAGGGCCTACAATCAGATCCTAAAAATAGATAGCAGTGGCTAGTACTTTAAATATAGTGTCAGCGAGCCTACATAACACCCCTGGTTGACAGGTGACAAAACTAGATCCTTGAGGAATATTTCCTCACTTGTGTGTCCAGGAAAACTGTCATCAGTGTTAAGCCAAGCCTTGGGAATAAAGACTTTATCTACACTTCCCGAGTTCCTGGAATTAAAAGTGCCAGAGCCATACCTAAACTCATGATGGTCCCCATGCCTGTGTCTGAGATGGAGTATACCCATTCCCACCCCATACTGCCCACAAGTTTCTTTCTTGATTGCTTACCTGCCTTCTGATGTGTCCCGACTTTGGCCTAGGAACTGGGTCCTGCTGGGGTGGGACTGGGCAGCTGGTGGTCAACTGTCACCTTAAACCTGGACAGGATAATTGCTAGTGGATGTGCAGTGTTCCCTGGGGTGGGCCGCTGTTCTAACGCACACCAGAAGTTGACAGAGGTGGCACGAAGATCAACAGGCCCCTTTTGAGGTCTTTGAGAGGTCATCGAGGCACAGGTAGAGAAAGTGCTAACTGGTCCACAGAGTAGGGCTAGTGAATGAGGCAGTTGTGTTTCAAGACTCAGCCAGAAATAGGAAGTGACTCCACAGGTTGTTCAGAATTGAACTTTGAACTCACACCCCAGCACTCTGTAGGCTCTGGATTCCAGCTCCACAACTGACCTGCGATTCACTGTTGCTGTGCCTACCTCTGCAGTATTTATATATTTATTTTACATTTCTCATCACTGTGACCAAACTGGTGACAGGACTTAAAGCAGGAATATTTATTCTGGCTCTTGGTGTCTGAGTTCAGTCCACAGTCTCTTGACTCACTGCCCTTGGGCAGAACATCGGACAGCGGCAGCACATGGCAGAGGTGGGTTGTTTTAGGGTGGACAGGGAGAAGGGAAATGCTGTCTTGCTGGCTTCCTGCTCCCATTGAGGGCGGGTCTGACCCAGTTAACCCAGCCTGCCAATGTCCTCACAGGCGCTCCCACAGGTGCGTCTCCTCAGGGTCCTACATCAGGACGTCTTTACTGTTTTTTCTTTTTGTTTTTTTCCGGAAAGGGTTTCTCTGTGTAGCCTTGGCTGTCCTGGACTTGCTTTGCAGAGCAGGCCCGCCTCGAACTTACAGCGACCCACCTACCTCTGCCTACCAGAGTGCTGGGACTATAGGCGTACACCACCACCGCCCGGCCAACCTTTGAAACCTTTTTTGCTTGACCTCTTCTAGCCTGAGTTTTTATGCAACCCTAGGTATGTGGGTATATGAAATAGGTATGCAAATCAAACACTTACGACAAAATCATAAATTTACTTAAAAGACTTTTTTGGCAACACATAATTTGTTTATTAATGATGAAAGCGGTGAGATGACACACTTGTTTATGAGGGATGATATCTTGGCTGAGTGTTTTCGCACTGTAGGACATAGATCATATTTGTTTTTCAGTTAGCTGGTGTTTTGTTTTAATAATAATCTGCGCTGTACGTTATATTGGTAGCCTGCTGTTTTAGCCGACTGATAAACTGGCTGTAGAAGCAGGGTTACCCACTTCCATTCCCGAGCGTGTTTACCTCAGTGTTCTTCAAGCTCCTAGAAGGTCTAGATGGTCTTGACAGGAGGGAAGAGAACAGCAAAACAGCCCAAGAGTGAAAATGCCCTTGAGAGCAGCTAGCAAGGAAATGGCTGCCAACCAAGGTCACTGTTTATCCCACCGCACGAAAGTGCCTGCAGTGGGAGAGAATCGCCGGAGGGAAGCCTTGGGAAGCTCATCTGTGGAGAGCAAGCTCAGTCGGCAACTGCAGCCCTCTGCTTCAACTTCCCAAGTCGGTTTCTGCTGGGTGTTGGGAACATCTAATTGGATGATGTTTCCTCCGTCTGCTGTTGGTTCTTGGAAGCCTCACCTGAGGGGGCCATCTGCTTTGGCTGCAACTCCCTATATTGGGAACCCCAGCTGGCTACCTTAAAGCTGATTTCTGCTCTTTGGCTGATTTAATACTGTTGTCATGTCTGTCTACCTATCTCTCACTAGCTGTTTAAACTGAACATATTCGCAGATCATTCTCCGGGTAGTACAAAACCATCATCAGTGCCAGGAAGGCTGTTCATTTAAATAAACGGGTCAAGATGGTAGCAGCATGCTCATGGACTTTGCAGACACTCTCAGGAATTCTGTCCTAATCCCAAGCAAGCCACATTTATTGCTTAAAAAAAAAAAAAAAAAAAAAAAAAACAAAAAACATTTATTTATGGATAGAGCGAGAGAGAATGAATGAGAATGGGTTTGAGTGTGGGTGGGTGTGGACCAAGTTTATGTATGGAGGTCAGAAGACAACTTGTAGAAATTGTTTCTCTCTTAACATATGGGTTCCTGGTCTTGAACTCAGTTCTCCAGGCTTGGTGGCAGATAGGTGCCTTTGCCCGCTGAGCCATCTAGCCAGCCCTTAATTTATTTTCATTATGCATGGCATGCAACATTCTATAATATGTTATTTATGCTGTATGTGCTCTCTTAAAAAGAACCTGGATACCATTCCTGCCTTTGAGAAACCAGATTTACTTGTCATCTGCAGGAGATAAGCTATAAATAGAAATACAGACAGTTTTAAAATTCCAGCTGGATGCTGTTGTCTGTTGGAGGCTTGGAACGTAAGGCTTGAGATTTGTTGAAAAGGAAGCCGTCGGTAAATGCTGTTGAGGGGTTAAAAATAGATTGGCGAGGCCATGTCGCGGTGTGAGGGGCTACGGGAATCAGTGACTAAGTCTGTATGCTCACTGTCACTTCAGGGTCTTCCATAATGATCTTGCTCCCTCACCTTGGGAGATACTTCCTTATTTGGTGGTGTTTGGGTGGCTGCATGGGTGGAGGGTCACCCTGAGTATGGTTTACTGCTAGAGAGTAGTCAGTGAGACTGGCCCTCACTCACCCTGGGGAGTAAGACTGACTTGTGATAGGAGGTTGGGTAGAAAGGAAATAGCATTCACGCCAACCCTTAAAGACGTGGTGCAGGCAAATGTTGTGAAGGTTTGGAGAAGGGCTCAGCCTAAGACCTTTTTGGAGTGGATAGAGAGAACGTTTCCTGTTTTTGCAATGACAAGGCAGGGAAAGTCTGCTGCCAGGAAGGACCCACTGTCTTTCTGTTCTGGATGACTGACCTGAAAATGTGTAGGATGGGATGGTGTGATGACTGGAAGACCACCTTTTCTTTTTTTTCCTTTTTCTTTTCTTTTCTTTTCTTTTCTTTCTTTCTTTCTTTCTTTCTTTCTTTCTTTCTTTCTTTCTTTCTTTCTTTCTTT